ATCCATCCATCCATCCATTGTGTCAAGCACATTTGTAGCCATCATCATTCTCAGAACATTTTCTTTATACTTGAGCCCTTGGTATCAGAGCCTCGTTTTTCCCCTCCCTCTCTGCCCCCTTCCCTCATGAACCCTTAATACAGATGGGCTTTGGGTCTTCACTCCACACTCCCCCTCATTCACAATGATATGACTTCTGTATTTATAATTGTAAATTAAGTGGTTTTTTTTTAAAACTTTCTTAATCAAATCCACTTTTCCCTTAGATCTTGCAACATGCACCAATCTTCTAAGCATATACCCATGTAGCTATCTCTACCTTTCCCAGTGACTCTTGGCTCTTAGTTATAATTAAATCTATACATCTAATTTCCCTTTGCTCCATATCTATCCACTTATCTACATCTAAATGAGACAAGATGTGCAAGAAAGTATTTATGGTGTGTGCTAGTCTGGATAGACTAGAGAAGCAAATCCATAGACACTCATATGTGTGTAAGAGAGAACTTTATATCAAAAAGCAATTGTACATTAAGAAAACATCTCAGTCCAGTCTAGATCTTCACAAGTCCAATGTTATCCCACATGTCAATACTAGTCCATAAATTCCTCTTTAGACTCACGCAGCCATGCAATGATGCCGAATGCAGGAAGATCACAGGCCAGTGGGTGGAAAGTCTTAAGGATTCAGTGGCGGTGGAAGCATCTCAGCGCTGGCATGGGTCCCCACATGGCTCCTCCAGCTCCAGGGCTCTGGCGGCATCAGCGTAGCTCCATGTGGCTTGTCAGTAGGAAGACGAAGCAGAGAGTGTATCTGGCCTCCAGTGAGCTATTTATATCCTTTGAACCTCCAATTGAGGTAATCAAGCTGCGACCTGATTGAGGCTAGACTCCGCCCCTTTGCAAGTTGACAGATATGAAGCTGCCACATGGTACTATTTGATAGCTTTTACTTTTTATGTCTTACTAATGAAAGAAGTTATAATTTTAATCTATTCACAAATGTTAACTAGTTCATTAAAATTGTGTATTTTTCACAGCCTTTGTGTCCTAGCGACTGATTGCTCTCAACCAAAGAACAGTCTTATGTCTCAGGTTGTCTTTGCTTTCTGACACCCCTCCCCTTCACCCTCTAACACATGTTCTCAGACAACAGTGGAGAAGATAGATTTTGAGTGACCAATTGGTTGTACAGGATGTCATGTATTGCTGTTAGTACGGTGAATTACATGACGGCCTCTCAAGAATGTTTCTCTGACAAATCTACAAGAAAGAAGGCTATGAAATGAAAATGTATTACCATATATACGCATGTATAAGCTGGTTTTGAGCACATTTTTAATGCCGTTTCTGTGGTAAAATTAGGTGCCTCGGCTGATATTTGGGTTGGCTTATATTCGAGTATATATGGTAATTAATAAACTTTCTGCATTGTCTTCTGGGAAACTGATATTTGAATGCCATGGGTTCTTTAAACAACAGAAGGACAAATGCTTTGGGAATAGTCAAACCAAGTAATTTTAAGCATACAATCAAAGTAAAAAGAGCCTCAGGGGCACAGTGGTTATAAGTTGGGCTATAATATACAAGGTCGGCAGTTCAAAACCACCAGCTGCTCCGAGGGATATAGATGGAGCTTTCTACTCCCATAAAGAGTTGTAGCCTTAGACATGAAAAAGAGAAAAAAAATCAAAAAATTATCAAGGGTTCACGGGGGAGGGGGGGCAGGGGAAATGAGGAGCTGATATCAAGGGGTCAAGTAGAAAGAAAATGTCTTGAAAATGATGGCAACAAATGTACAAATGAGCTTGACACAATGGATGGATGGATTGTAATAAAAGCTGTAAGAGCCCCCAATAAAATGATTTATATATATATAAAAAGAACAAATAAACAAAAAAGAGTTGCAGCCATGGAAACTGACAAGGGTGGTTTCTACCCTGTCCCATAGAGTCTTATGAGTCAGCATTGACTCAGACAGTGGGTTTATTGAGTAAAAGGGTAGTGTTGCTATGCGCATATGCAAGCCAGAGGAGACGTAGCAAAGGGAATGAACGGCATTTATCTGGGTAGAAGGCAGGAACTGGCGGTAAAGGAGCCATGTTCTAGGAGAGAGAATCAGATGAAAGAGAGGGTGGCAGAGGGAGGGCGGTCAGTACGGTTACAGCAACAAAAATAAAGTGGCCTTTGTTTTGAGATGAGTCTGCTCTGGGCAGATGAGGGAAAATCACAGAAATTCCCCCAGGCCTTGCTAACATTTTGACTTTCATCTGTAAGCTTACACTAGAGTAGGAAGTATCAATCAGATCCCTAATCAAGTTCCGGGGTAAAAAACAAATTAAAGGAGCGTAAAAGTAGAATCAAGACCAGTTAGAAGGCGACTGCAGAGTGTTGGGTCAGACTTCAGAAGGAATTAACAGATTAAAAGGATGTACTACTATGATTTATATGATCTATAGTCTAAAGGCTATGATGGTAACTTGGAAGACTGATCTATGCAAAAGCTGGGGGATGAGTGTAAAAGATGACCGTGCAGTGGATGCCTTTGAGGCGTGGTGTTGGTGAAGCATCCTGAATGAACTACGGAATATGACTACGGAGAAGCAAAGGTGTTGAGACCGCATCTCACATATTGAGGCCTGGTCTCAGGAGAGACCAATCCCTGGAGAAGGGCATCATCCTGGCAACACAGAGGGGCAGCGAAAAAGAAGACCCCCTCAGTGAGGTGGCTGACACAGGGGCTCTGACCTGCCAATCATTATGAGGGTGGCGCAGGGCTGGGCAGTGCTTCACTTCTGCACCCGGAGTCCCTATGAGTCAGAACCGACCCACAGCACCAGAGAACAGTAATTTTATTTAAATGTAAGCTTACACCAGTTTATAAATTTCAAAAGCTAAAGAAAAAAACATAAAGGTAAAACTATTTTGGCATTTTTAATAGCTTCATTATCTATCTTACCAATAGGAGAAATTCATTATTGAAAACCAGTAATACCAAGGAACGGAAGTCAGGACCCAGATTTACCATTCAAACCCTGAGTCTTGAAATGTATTCTTTTTTTTCCCCAGAGTTCTTGATGTCTTTTATTTATTTATTTTTAAAATCATTTTATTGGGGGCTCTTACAACTCATCACAATCCCATCCATCCATCCATGTGTCAAGCACACAGAATGTATTCCTGACCTCCCAGATAATGGCAATGCTTTTGAGTTTATAAAACTCTTTGACAAAGCTATTTTTGGAAACATGCATTTCTATATTTAAAGAAATTAATGTATGCGTATGTATACATATACATACATTCCATAAATACACATGTATGTAAAGGGAAAGCCAAACTTGTTGCCACTGAGTCAGGGCTGACCCACGGCGACCTCCCTGCGGGTGTCTGGGACTGCAACTGTTTACAGGAGAGTGGAAGGCTCAGCTGTCTCCCGGGGCCTGCTGGTGGTTTCCGACTACCGACTACACAGATTGAAGCCCAGCGCGTCATCACTACACCACCAAAGCTCCTTGTAAAGGAAGTAGATAAAACATATACTGCTGATTATTTTATCTCATTTAACAGGAGATTACTCTGTTTCAGTTTCTACCCTAATACCGTACCTTACTCGGAGCACAGTGAATGAGCCGTCCTTCATTCCTAGAGCAAGGTGAATTCCATCTACATTTACAGCTGCGCAGCGAATTGGTTCTTCCATATTACACCTTGCTATCAATGCATGATCTACGAGACTCCATATCCTGTAACATGAGAATGGGAGATATTACTACCAACCACATATCTGATGAAAGCCAGCATCTAAAATATATACAAAAAAAACTCTACGACCCCCCAAATAAGAAACAAACAACTCACTTTTTAAAAATCGTTTTATTAGGGGCTCACACAACTCTTATCACAATCCATACATACATCAATTGTGTAAAGCACATTTGTACACGCATTGCCCCCACCATTCTAAAAACATTTGCTCTCTACTTAAGCCCCTGGCATCAGGTCCTCACCTTTCCCCATCCCTCCCTGCTCCCCCCTCCTTCATGAGCCCTTGATAATCCACAAATCATTATTTTGTATTATCTTGCCCTGTCCGATGTCTCCCTCACCCACTTTTCTGTTGCCCATCCCCCAGGGAGGAGGTCACATGTAGATCCTTGTCATCGGTTCCCTCTCCCTCTACCCTCCCCGTATCGCCACTCACAACACTGGTCCTGAAGGGATCATCTCCCCTAGATTTCCTGTGTTTCCAGTTCCTATCTTTACCAGTGTACATCCTCTGGTGTAGCCAGACTTGCAAGATAGAATTTGGATCATCATAGTGGGGGGCGGAAGAAGCATTTAGGAACTAGAGGAAAGTTGTATTTGTCATTGTTGCTATATCGCACTCTGACTGGCTCATCTCCTCCCCGAGACCCCTCCGCAACGGGATCTCCAGTGGCACTCCCCGCATCATTCACTATGGTAAGATTTTTTTGTTCTGATAATGTCTTATACCTGATCCCTTCAACACCTCGTGATCGCACAGGCTGGTGTACTTCTTCCATGTGGGCTTTGTTGCTTCTGAGCTTGATGGCCGCTTGTTTACCTTCAAGCCTTTAAGACCCCAGATGCTATATCTTTTGATAGCTGGGCACCATCAGCTTTCTTCACCACATTTGCTTATTCACCTGCTTTGTCTTCAGTGGTACAAACAACTCAATTTTAAAATGGGCAAAAGATCTAGATCAGTGGTTCTCAACCTCCCTAATGCTGCGACCCTTTAATACAGCTCCTCATGTTGTGGTGACCCCCAACCATAAAATTATTATCATTGATACTTCATAACTGTGATATTACTACTGTTATGAATCGGGCAGCCCCTGTGAAAAGGTCGTTTGACACACACACCCCCACCCCCCACCCCCGAAAGGGGTCGCGACCCACAGGTTGAGAACGTATGAATAGAAAGCCTCATCTTTCTTCCTTGGAGTGGCTCGTGGTTTCTGTTGAACTTTCAGATCGCATCCAAATGCATAACCACTGTGTTACCAGGGCTCCTTACTGAACAGGAAGTCATTTACCAAAATATTAGAACAAGATCAGAACTATAAATAAAGTAAATTGGAAAAACCAGAACTATTATAATAGGATAGGAATCCTGCTGGTGTGGTGAGTGAGGTGTTGGGGAGCTATCCCCCAGGTCCACAGCTTGAACCCACCATCACTCTGAGAATGATCACCTCTCTGTTCTCATAGAGAGTCACCGCCTTGTCAACTCCACAGAGCAGTTCTACTCTGTCCCACTGAGCCACTGTGAATCCAGTCACCAAAGGCAGCACGTTCTTATTACAGTGTCTTGTAAAGTTGTGTCTTTCCTGTTGCTGGTTTATAGGAAAATGGTTTTTAATATATATTTTTATATCCCCCAAATTCTAAACTCTTTTGATTCTAATGAAGTCACTTAATTTTCCTTTGAGCTTTCTACATACATGCGAGGGCTTCAAAGGGTGGGAAGGAAAATTCCAAGATCTTTACACTCTCATTCTCCATGAATTTTTTGAATCTCCCTTGTACCATCATCAATCACAGCACCTACAAATGAGTCATCGTTTCTAGTCTCACACACACACACACACACACACACACACACACACACACACACACACACAGAGTTGGTGGTGTTGGTGTTTGCCTGACTGTGCTGGAAGGCCTGGAGAGAGTGTTGAGAGCAAGCACCATCGCTGCCTTTCTAATCACAGAGGAGCTGCGTCGTGGTTACACATCAATTGGGCTGCCCACCCCAAAGTTAGCAGTTCGAAACCACCAGATACTCCATGGAAGAAAGAGGAGCCTTCAGACTCCCATAGAGAGATCAAGTCTCAGAAGCCCACAGGGACAGTCTACTCTGTCCTAGGGCTGTGAGGAGTCGGAATTGACACTGACAAGCTACAGTCCTGGGGCCATGCCTGGCCTGCTGCCTGCTTTCTGAAGAGTCTGCAGGCTACGAATGGAATCAGCGTGTTTAACTAGGGAACACATATCAAAAGAGGAAGAAATTGCGACACAGTAAATGTATAGGAAATTCAAGTTTCAGTCCATAAATAGCTTTCTTGGAGCACAGGCACACCGCACCTATTGGTTTACATGCTGTCTGCAGCCGGCTTCAAACTCACAGGGCAGAAGAGTTGACATGGTGAAGATCTGGACCGAAAGCCTGGTGGTCCCCGCCCGCGGAGGCGCTCTGGGGAAGGCGGGTCTGGCAAGCTGCGCCCACAGTGTTTTCACAGCCGAGAAAACTCGACTGGGCACACACAGGGTCACTGGGGGTCGAGCTGATGCAATGGCAACTGACAACAACAACAACAAAACAGACGGCTGATCTCCGACAGGCGAGCAGCTGCAAACAGAAACGGGATGTGGCACTCCCACCCCCTTGCACGGCTGCTGGGCTCACTGCAAACGGCAGTGACGTCTTTACGACCTGACAGATTTCCCAGCGCCATGCGTGCCATTGCCCTGCAGTCTTTTATGCTTGTTTACTGCCAGGGCCGCTAAGTCTTGCCAAAATAAACGGAAGAGAGAGACAGGTGACTTCGGATGGTGCGCTCTTAAGACACCTGTGCTACTGAATTCAACGGCAAAGCCTTGTGCTTATTCTGCAACAACACGGTAACTGTGCCGAGGGAGCGGAAAACAGATGTTGACAGCGCCAGACTGCTCACAACACGAGGGGACTTCAAAAAGCTACCAGAATGAAAAGATAATGGAATTTTCCTATGAAATTACCTAGCACCCTCCTAGTTCCAAACACAGAGGAAAACCATGGTTTAAATATATATATATATAAATACCCCATCCCATTAGAATTTCATAAAAATTAAAAAATGGAAATGCGGCTGCACTTCAAGAAAACAGAGATCTCCATAACTACGGTATCGGCCATACTCTATGGATACGGAGAGTGAACATGGTGACAAAGCCATCTGCAGAGATAATGCCCTCCCAGTTTAGATTCCAACATCATTCTCTAAAGAGATAACATAATAACCGAGCTCCAACTTTATATGGAAAGAAATGAGATGCTGGAAAAGCCAAGCGTTGCTAAAAAAGAACGACGTGGGAGGCCTCATGCTCCCCCATGTCCAGCCCTGCTGCACGGTCATGGCAGTGAAAACAGCCTGGCACTGGGGCCACAAAAGACGCAGCGAGCAACGCAACTGGTGAGCCCAGAGGCAGAGCCGTCCACTACGAGTGGTTGAACTTCGACATGGGACCAAAATACATGAATGGGGACGAGAGGGTCCCTAACAGACGGTGTACCCCTTGTGGGAAATGAAATTGGACCAACATCGCACATCACATGCAAAACAAACCAAAGATGAATGAAACTCATGCACGTAACACCTAGAACTACCAAGATTAATAATGAAAAAGGGGCAAAGCTGAGAGATCTGAAAACAGGCCAACCGAAGGGCTCTGATCCAAGCCAAACAAACTCACTGCCACCCAGCTGACTGCAGTGCACGGGGACCCTGAATACGGGTTTTGAGACAGTATCTAAGGGGCACACACAGCTCCATCTTTTCCCCATGGCGTGGCTAGTGGGTTCAAACAGCTGACCTTGAAGTTAGCAGCCCCACATGTATCCCACAGCGCAACCAGGGACCCTATGATGCCATAATACATGGTGTGAAGACACTATCCAGCAAAACTACAACACACACACAGCAGGAGATCAACTGAGTGACTCAAAACCCACGGCCATCCTGTCAGTCCCAACTCACCATGACCCCACAGGACAGGGTAGAACTGTCCCCTCGGGTTTCCTAGGCTGTGAATCTTTTTAGGACGCAGAAAGCAGCATCTTTCTCCAAAGGAGCCGCGTGATTGTCTCAAACTGCTGACCTTTCAGTTAACAGCCCAACGCAAAACCCACCCCTCCACCAGGGGTCCTAACCAGACGGCTGCGACCTCCTAAAAATGAAGCACGTCTGTGTATCACAAGACTTCACTGAAAGAGTAAAAAGATAATCCAGACTGGGAAAATTTGGGGTTATGGCATATCGGAAAAAGAACTAATTTTTAAACTTCAAAATCTCAACCAAAAAAATAAGACAAATAATCGAATTTATTTATTTTCAGTCTTAATGACATGTCATTCATATATTGTTCACTTCAATAGTTTGGTCTTATTAAAAAGAATTGTACAAATGAATTTGAAAATGACTAAAATATATGAACAGGCACTTCACCATAAAAGATGTTCAAATGGACACCATACAAAGAAACACTAGTGATCATCAGCCATTAGAGAGATGCAAATCAAAACATCTCGCCCCGACATTAAAAAGTTAAAGGAAAACAAACAAAACCCAGAAAACAAAATAAAACCAAACAAAAACTGCTAGAGAGTGTGTGGAGAGGCTTTACACAATGCTGGTGGGGCTATGCAATGGCATAACCACTATGGAAAAAGCCAAGGCATGTTCTCAGGAAGTTGGAAACAGAAACTCCATATGACCCGGAAATCATATGACCCCACTTGGAATATATCATACAGAAATAAGAGCTACAATCAAATAGATATATGGACACCGATGTTCTTTGCAGCATTATTCACAACAGCATCAAGATGAAAACATCAACACCCATCACTCACGAATGGACCAACCAGTGATGGACCACCCGTACAATGGAATCCCATGCCACATGAACCCATGATGACGAATCTGAAAACATGATCCTGAGGCCATTAGGCTGGGTGAAATTAGTCAAACTCAAAAGGACAAAGATGGTATAAAAGCACTACTGTAAAAAGTCCAGAAAAGATTTTTCCAACTTGAAAAACAAAACTGTGCTGGTTACTGGGGGTGAGAGGGTAAAAGAGGGGTCAATTATTTGCTAGCCGGGGGGTGGGGGGCACGCGTTAACTTAGGTGAGGAGGAGATCAACATACACCGGTGGGAAGCACAGCAAAAGATGATGACGGCAAAGGAAGACTCAAGAGGGGCAATGGAGTTCCACATGTGATCAGCATGGCCCTGCAGTCACAGTGCTCTACGACTACAAGTATGGACAGACACACAGGCTGAACTGTAGGAGGAGGAGAACTGGAGTCTGTCCAGGAAAACATGTATGTGTCCATATACATACATACACATATGGATATAAATGTGGCAGGGGCTATTTGTACGTATGTCTTTACCTTTGCTGCAAATGTATCCATGAGGGTGTTCATACAGAGGGCAAAGTTACAGCAACTTCCTAAGACAAAACCAAACACCTTGAAGGAAGGAGTGGCTGGGCCTAGGGGCTCAGGATCCTGGTCTTGGAGGATGTGAAAGCCAACGGGCATAACACAGTGCACAAAGACAATGTTCTACATCCTACTTTAAAAACTCGTGAGAGCCATCTAAAACGCAACTGCTGTTCAGAGGAAAGAGAGTAAAGCACCTCAAAGACAAATTGAAACAGTAAATCTATCGGTCTCCATGACCCTGAGACCAGAAGAACTGGATGGTTCCTGGCTACCATGACCAGATGCTCTGTAAGAAATCACACTGGTACATCCTGGATAGAGAGAGGGGAAAATATGAAACAAAACTCAAATTCATAAAAAGTCCAGGCTTACGACAGAGACTTGTGGAAAACCCCAGACTATGGCCTTTAGCTTCTACTCTTGAGGTATAGAGCTGAACTTACACATGGCTTAATTTTCTGCCAAGCAATAGGCTGGCCTGTATCATAATGATTTATAAATTATCAAGGGTTTGTGAGGGAGCGGGGGATGGAGGGGAAAAATAAGGAGCTGATACCAAGGGCTCAAGTAGACAGCAAATGTTTTGAAACTGATGATGGCAACAAATGTACACATGTGCTTGACACAACAGATGGATGGATGGATAGTAATAATTGTCGTATGAGCCCCCAGTAAAATGATTTAAAAAAAACAGACTACCACAAAAAAAAGTGAACCACGAGGGAGGCTCACACACCTTACCACCGCCTGCGATCAGAAGGGCAGCCTTTACCTAAGGGCCAAGCTCCTAGTAGTTAGGGAAGGAGGGGATGGAAACAGGGACACAGGGATGTCGCAGGGTAAATGATGTTACATTGTGGGGATTGCAAGGAATGACTTGAACCAAAATGAGAATCACTTGGGTTTGTTTTTTTTAATAAATCACTTTTTGGGGGGAACTCATATCTCTTACAATAATCCATATGTCAATCGTATCAAAAACATTTGTACAAATGATGCCATCATCATTTTCAAAACATTTTCTTTCTACTTGAGCCCTTGGTATCAGCTCTTTTTTTTCTTATCCCTCTCCTGCCCTCCCAGCCTCATGAACCCTTGATAAACTATAAGTTATTTTTATTTTCATATCTTACACTGACCGCTGTCTCCCTTCACCCACGTTTCTGTTGCTCGTCCCCCTGTGGGGGGGAAGTGTTTTATATCAATCATTGGGATCAGTTCTCTCTTTTTCCCTCCTCTCCCTACCCTCATGGTATAGCTACTTCCATTACTGTTGCTGAGGGATTTATCTGTCCTGGATTCCGTGTGTCAAGAGCTCTTATCTCTACCAGTGTACATACTTCTGTCTAGGCAGATTTGTCAGGTAGAATTGGGGTCATGAAAGTGGGTGGAGAGGAAGCATTAAAAAACTAGAGGAATGCTATGTGTTTCTTCAGTGTTGTGCTGCACCCTGACTGACTAGTTCCTTCCTTGTGACCCTTCTGTGAGGGGATGTCCAATTGCCTACAGATGAGCTTTGGGTCTCCACTCTGACCCTCACTGTTTGCATTGATATAATTGATTGTTTGGGGTCTCCTGATGCCTGATATCTGATGCCGTCGACATCTCGTGATCACACAGGCTGGTGTGCTTCTTCCATGTGGGTTTTGTTGCTTCCCTGCTAGATGGCTGCTTGTTTAACTTCAAGCCTTTAAGACCCCAGACAACAATATCTTTTAAGAGAATGACTTGTTGAATGGAAAACTGATCTGCTCTGTAAATCTACCCTGGTTCAAAGCGCACAGTTAAAAAAAAAACTTTTTCTTTTTTAGTAGCTCATTTGTTAGAAATGCAAAGAAAGCTGTTTACTGATAATGGATTTGTGTGCATTGCAGCAGCTGAAGAAATGTGTCCAGAGGAAACAAATGTGTTTAAGACTATTGGACTTTCAAAGAGAACAGTTGTTCAGACCATTCGAATTCATCGGGAGCAATGCCAAGGTTTCATTAAAAAGGCAAGTGATGTCGGGTGGCTTTCCTCAGATCTCCAACTCACAGACGTTCTAACTTGGACCGCAGTCTCCCAGACGCCACCAGTTCCTTGGATCTTGGCTCTCACAGATGTCACCATTACTCCTCGGCTGTTGATTATTTGAGGATCAAGGTCACGTTGGAAGGACCTGAAGAATTAGCCTCTATGAACAACTAAGGGTGAGACTATTTTCAAAGGCTTCAAGAAAACATGAATTTAAGACAACCTAACGTGTAATCTGCTAGGAGCTGCTATCGTGGTCACATGAAGATGGGGGCAGCCAAAACAATGGCTTAGTTTGGCAAACTGGCAAAGCTCTCGAAAATACACGGCACTCAACCCCGATGCATATTAACTATCCTACTCTCTGGCAAAGACTTCCAAACCATTTGACTCGAACGCATGATTCGGAACCAGTGGTGTGAGGGTGAACTTCATGTGCTTTCCTGGATGGAACCACTGGCAGTTCTATGAGTTTCGGTCAGAAACCGAAGCTGACAACCGTGACCTGCCTCCTTACAGAGCAGTGTGCTGGCTTAGCAGTGGCAACGCTTAACTCTAACCTTGTTTGAAGGAGCAGACCCACCCTCCCCCTCTATCACCGAACTTCCTGGAGGGCTCTGTGAATTGGCTTAGACCGTAGACTTGACCATGTTTCTGAATTAACGCAACCACAAATTACAAGGCGAATGCAGCATTCACATGGGGAACTCAGACTGTGGTGAAGCCACTTGGACAACAGCTAATTGTGTGAATAACAATTAACATCAGGCTGTGGTTTTGGGAAGTAGGTCTCCTTTCACACACAAATCTGCTGTAGCTATTTTTCCTTCACTTAATCCAGGAGTCCCCAGGAGGGGCGGATGGTTCAGCATGGGGCCACTCACCAAAAGATTGGTGGTTCAAAAGAGGGAACCGATTACAAGGAACTATATGTGACCTCCTCCCTGGGGGACTGTATTAGTCTAGGTACTTTAGAGAAACAAATCCACAGCAACTCATGTATAAGAGAGTTTTATGTAAAGAAAGTGTGCATCACGAAAACATCCCAACCCAATGCTGCCCAAGCCCACAAGTCCAACATTAACCCATTAACCCAACACCAGTCCACAAAGTCCTCCACCTCACAAAACAGAGGCAGTGATGCCGACTGCAGGAGGAAAGCTGAGTCAGTGAACAAATAAGCATCTCAGCACTAGCAGGGGTCTCCACACGGCTGCTCCAGCACCCAGGGCTGCATCAGGATAGGTCCATGTGGCTTCTCCTTGGGGATGTCTTGTAGGAAGTCAATCTTGCAAGCTGAAGCAGGGAACTGCTAAGGCAGCTGCACCCGGTGCAACCATCACAAAGCAAGAGACCGGAGAACTAGAAAGGCGAGGCTCACCACCCATTTATCCCTCCGCCTTTCAATTAGCCCCACATGTGATTATTGGCCAGGTTGGCACAATTAACTAACTCAGGGACAGACAACCGAAAAGTGGGTGAAGGGAGACGTCGGACAAGGCAAGATATGACAAAATAACAATTTATAAATTATCAAGGGCTCATGAGGGAAGGGGGAGCGGGGAAGGAGGGGAAAAATGAGGACCTAATGCCGGGGGCTTAAGTGGAGAGGAAATGTTTTGAGAATGACGAGGGCAATGAATGTAAAAATATGCTTTACACAACTGATGTATGTATGGATTGTGATCAGAGTTGTATGAGCCCCTAATAAAATGATTAAAAAAAAAAAAAGATTGGTGGTTCAAACCCACATGGAGGAGTCTCAGAAGAAAGATGGATAACATCTCAATCTCCATTTGGTTTTAAGCTGAGGATGCCCCACCGCTCATGTCTCTAAGGATCAACGCCAGCCAATGCAACTATTCCATAATTTGCTTACCTGACTGACCGATCATCACTTCCGGTCACGGCCAACGGCTTCGTAGGATGGACAGCAAGGGCCCACAGTTCCCCTTCACAGTGTCCTTGCATAATGAGGAAAGGTTTGTTTCTCTCATGCACCACAATTTCAAAAATTTCACTGTCCTGTGTTCCAACTAGAATGTGGTCGCCTCGCCAACACACGCTCCTCACAGACAAGCCTGGCAGGAAGGGAGGGCATTCAGCGTCAGTGCTGCCAGTCCGTCACAATCCATATCAATCTGTGCACCGCTTAGACCTGAGACACCTGGCGGAGGGACTGTGGGAGTCCTGCTCACACTCCCATTTAAAGTTCTCACAGCGCTTTCTAGGTGGAAGGGCATTTCTCTCTTCTGCCGAAGCCAGGTCCTGGCCAGCCTTCAGAGCAGACCCACGACACCTGCCTGCCTTCCTGGACTCACGGCTCTAAGCTAGAGCTCGAACCACTTCCTCTGCAAGAGTCTTGCAACGGCCAGCATCATCCGATAAGCCAGCGAGCGGTTCTCCACCTTCCCCATACCATGACCCTTGCATACAGTTCCTCGTGTGGTGATGAACCCCCAAGTAGTCATGAAAATGACTACTTCATCAGTGTCATTTTGCTACTGTTATGAATCGTCATGTAAATACGGGATATGCAGGATGTATTTTCATTGTTACAAATCAAACATCATTAAAGCATAGTGATTCATCACAAAAACAATACGCCATTATATATGGTGAGCTATTTCTTTCTAATGACAAATAAATGAAATGTTGTCTTGAAGCATGGTGTAGCATGGGTAACAGTCTTCATGCCGGGTACTCGTAGGTGGGCGTATCTGCATGTGGGCGGACCTGCCTGGAGACGGATAGAGGAGCGATGTCTCAGTTCCTAAGCCCATCAGAAATATGTGTTTCCCGATGGTCTTAGGTGACCCCTGTGAAAGGGTTGTTTGACCCTCAAAGGGGCCGAGACCCACAGGTTGAGAACCGCTGTGATAAACTAGCGTTCCATTACCATTTCAGAACGGGGCTGAGTTAGTTTGCTCTGATAGTAACGGGCTTTCCACTTGTCTCTCTGCCATTTCTCCAGCCTGCTGACAGCCAGGGAAGCGTTTGCTTGCTCCCTCTGTGTGCCAATCTCTTCTATAACCTTGGAAATGCTCCTTTTGCTCAGTTTTCTCGTGTGGTTAATAAAAGCACAAGTAGAAAGGCCCTGTGTCCCGACAGTGCTGCGAGAATCAAATAAAAAAGTATCGGGCTATCTTGTCAACTTTAAAGTATAATGATGTTAGCAAAGCTGATGAAGCCAGAATACTAGCTGACAATTCCTGGAGACTTACTGTCACGAAGCTAACTATCTCATTCTATTAACTCGTTTAATCTTAGGCAGTAGCTACTATCAACATCCTCAGTTTACAGATACTGTCAAATAACCAGCCCAAGGCCACACACAGAGCTATGTGACTGGAACAGAGTAAATGTCAGGGCTACTCTTGTAACACAGTGCCCCACACCTTGATGGCTGGTTTGTTTCTATAGTAAGAAAGCTTGCCTTATTTGATCAAATTTTTAAAAAGCTGTAAAAAGAGAAACACTGCTCCCAACTGGGGTCAAATTGGATAAAGGAGAAACACATCATGCTCATTTACATCACTTCGAACAAGAGCTCACCAGCCCCTGCACCCGAGCTCATTTGATTCAGAAGGAGCCCTGGTGACACCTCAGTTAAGCCCTTGGTTGCCAGGTAACTGAAGAGTCTGTGGCTCAGTCCAGCCGCCAGGAGAAAGAGGCAGCGGTCTGCTCTGTACAGACCGCAATCTTGGAAACCTCAGGAGACATTCTCCTGTGTCCCACTGGGTCACTGAGAGTCGGAATGGATTCTGCAGGAGTTGGGGCTGTTTGCAAAGTCATTCCCAGTCTAATGGGAACATGAGAAGCCCTGGTAGCATAGTGAGCTACGTGTTGGGCTGTTGATCACAAGGTCAGCAGTTCCAAACCACCAGCCTCTCAATGAGAGAGAAATGAGGCTTTCTACTCCCATAATGACTTACAGTCTGGGAAACCCACGGGCAGTTCCACTCTGTCCAAGAGAGTCACTATGAGCCTGAATCGACTCGGTGGCAATGAGTTTGGTTTGGGTTTTAACGGGATAGTAATTTCAAAACCCAACACTATCAGAGCAAGTGCCTGTAACATCTCATCGCAGGCCCCATTACAAAAGGCACCGCACAATGGCAGAAGAATCTAGAAACTGTCAAGCTTGACTCCCAGTGGGCAAAGTGTCCTCTTTGAGAGAAGGATTTCAGCTAAGTGTATACGGTATGAAGGGCCAAATCCAGTCCCGTTTCTAAGTGTATTTACAAAACACACATGGATGCTCATTGAAAGACGAGGTGATCCTCAGCACATTTAGCATTGGCTTAGTCACGACAGCATCTTTTGTTGTTACCTTTGTATCCTTGGTCTGTTTCCCTGAGATCAATCACAGTAATTGGTTTAAAAGTTAAATCCCAAAGGCGGACACAGCCATCCCGGCCACCAGTAGCAAAGCCTTCTTCACAAGCATTCATGCTAAAAATTCCTGCCTGAGAGAGGAAATAAAACGATTCCTTTAGCAACATATGCCTCCACAGAAAACTTACTCTCTGAAGGTGAAAATTCACATAAGAGGATATTTATATGGCATAGGATCAAAGAAACCTATCAAAAAGCACAAAGGAGCATCTACAAATAAATCCCTGTATGTACAGAAGCACAGCATTTGACCAAACCCAAGCCAAACCAACCTCTCACTGTTGAGACTGGGCTCCTTCTCGTTAACAACGTGGTACCTCTATGCCATCCCTCACTGGTGAAGGACCAACTGCTAAACAAGCATGAAGAAGAAGGAATAAAACACACCCAAGAGTTCTAACAATGGCTCTCTTTGATACCATGAAGTACAAATGTAAATCCTTTCCCCTCCTCATGGAATGAATCCACGTTCTTTTCAAAAGTTAAGACTCTTTGCCTAGAACTGGCCGCAAAGTTCCCACCGGCAAAGCAGACTCAAGAGGCACACCCTTTGTTTCCTGTAGTTGATGTAGACTACTTTAGGTTGACTTTGACAAGTTTCTGTTTTCCTAGGACTACTCTAGGAAACACAGACACTAACATGACGCTTTCAGCAAAATACAGTGAACCCTCGCCACTTCGCGCTTCGACTTCCGCGGCTTCACTCTATTGCGGTTTTTGCGTAACAGCGCATGCTCTGTCATTACTGCCACTGATTGGCTCATACTGTACACGCTTCTGTCTACATTGCTACGTACCGGAGCTACGTATCAGATGCATTTTTGCTTTTGTACAGTGTACTGTAATTGTTTGCGATTTTTAAGAAATTTTATCTAAGCCCTATGATGGCTCCTAAACGAGCTGCTTCTTCTAAGCCTTCTGACAATAAAAATAAGCGCCAGAGGAAGATGCTCACCATCCAGGAAAAGGTAAAACTTTTGGATATGATCAAAGATGGCAAGAAAATCGTGGAGGTTGCACGCCATTTCAACTTGAATGAGTCTTCCGTTCGCTCCATCCGTTGTACTTCATAATATAATAAATAGTAAATGATAATTGTAACGTCCAAAATGTTTTACTGCATTTTCCCTTTTTTGTTTAATAAATTGGGTAATACGAGTGTAATGGTGACTAAAGGGTGTTTTTTCATGTCCTCTATGCTCTAACTACGAAAATATCTGATTTACAAATAAGGAATCCTACTTCGCGGAATTTCATTTATCACGGTAGGGTCTAGAACCGATTAACCGTGATAAACGAGGCTTCACTGTACTATGATCCTCATGCATAGCTTCATGCTTACTTAGACCCAGGTTAAAACCTTAGAGACAAACAGGCACGTTTATTCAGCTCAGATGCTTTTTTTTTTTAGGCCAATGAACAGATTAAAAACAGTATGCTCTAAATGTGAACCGTGCTGTTCTAAGACAAGAAGGGAAGAAGGCAATATATAAAAGTGTTTAAAGCATGTAAGAATACTTACAGTATGGGCTCCTTGTATTGTCCGGATCAGATTGATTCCTTTCCAGACATATATGTCTCCGTTGAGTGCACCAGAATAGGTTAACTCATCCCTTGCACAGGCTAGGCACAAGATTGTCTGAAGGTCACCAGTCTTACCAAAGACACCTCGTTTGGGGGTCAGAGCATTTCCGCACAAACTCCAGAACTGAAAAAGCACAAAGGACAATCAAATGGCCAGAGAAGGCTTGCAAAACAAAATCTTCCCAGTGCTCACTGCTCCAGTATGACCCAAAGTCAAACCAAACTCACTGCCTCAAGTCGGTGCCCACTCATAGTGACCTTGCAGGGCAGGGTGACACTATCTCTGTGAGCTTCTGGGACGGTAACTGTTTATGGAAGTAGAGAACCTGTCTTTCTCTGAAGAGCAGCTGGTGGTTTTGAACTGCAGCCCTTGAGGATCACAGCCCCAACTAGTCACCCAACTCCACCAGGGCTCTCTTCTACTATGGCAGCAGACTACAATGTTCACATCCTTATACAATGTGAACACACTGCTGTGTGATAACAGGGAAGTCACTGGTCTCGGTCCTTATCTACAAGAACAAGAGACCAGAGGTTCCTGGGGACAGAAACCCACGTGCATTAAACTGAGGGAAAGAGTTGGGGTGGGTTGGCTATGAAAATGAAGAGACCCCACCATAGGAGGGAAAGGACCAAAGCTGATGTTGAATCTTGGGTGGAGGCAGTGAAAATGTTAAAAAAATAATAATACTAATACTTTTTTTTAATCTTAGAATATTGCGCTCAGGTTTTCAATCTGAGTAATTGCTTTGCTTGTGATGTTTTAAAATGAGATGGATCCACTTGGGATGATTTGTGCCTTCTTGGGAGACAATACAGAAGCCAAATGTAAATCTTCATAATCAAGAGGGTTTGTTCCCTTATACGGATTCAGGGAATTTTCATTACTGGCAGAAAGAATTAAAGAGCAAAAACCAGGCATGTTGTGAATCTACGTTAAAGACTCATGTGTAAAGAAAGCATGCCTAGAGAATAAAATAATTGCCACTTTAAAAATTGGAATTTATGGGTTTCATATCCTTGTATTTGAAAACTTAAAGACCCAAAGGATTAAAAATTAGTAAGGTCATCCATTCAGACTTCTGAGTACCTCTATGAATGAAACTTTTAATTATTTCTAAATATAGATGCTCCATAATTTCTATGCATAATAATAGCTGGTCATGCTCCTTTTCAGCAAGTCCCAATTTGGATCAATTATTTTATTCTAGGTCATTAAGACTCAGACACGCGAATCACCTGGGGACATTTTAAAATCTAGGCTGCTGCGCTCCAGCTGAGTTCGACAAGAGACAGAATCTATGGCGTTTTGTGAAGCCCAGGTTTTCAAAGGGTTTTAAGACCGAGAAACAGCCAAGGACTTTAGGTTCTACCGCCCAGATTAGTGCTGTCCACCAGAACTTTCCCTGGTGACCGAAACGTTCTACATCCATACTATCCAACAAAAGAATCACTGGCTACAATACGATGTGTAGTTCTCGAACAGTTGAAGTGTGGCTGCTCCTGGGACGAAGAAATGCAACTTTTATTTTATTCCATTCTAATGAACTTAAAATTAAATAGCTACAGACCATTACGGTACTGCATCATTTCACACCTTCTCAGGGAAATCATTTTCTCAGATGTGTTCTGTAAAGAGAACCACCATTCTGGTCACGGCTTCACCAAAGGAAAAGAAATGCTACCTCTAACTGAACAAAGAATGTGCTTCATTTAATTGCAGCTGTGCCATCTGAGAGGAGAGCTGCTGGCGAAGAGGGTTGTGTGTTGAGCTGCTAATCACAAGGCCAGCAGTTCGAGCCCACCAGCCGGTCCCGAGCCAACGATGAAGCTTTCCATTCCTGTGAAGATTTACAGCCCAGGAAACCCACGGGGCAGTTCTACTCTGTCTTGTAGGCTCGCTATAAACTGGAACGGACTGGATGGCGGCGAGTTTGTTTGCGGACTTTTTAAGAATCTGCAAATGGAACTTTCAGTCTTGTGTACAATGTCAACCGGAGTGTTATTTATTTAAGTCCTTAATGCATAGCATCCTATTAACCTGATCCATCAAAGACAAAAATCGCTACCTTCACAATATTGACGCTATGTGCCCTAGAGCCTAGCAAAGAACCTTCTGCTGTTGAACATATTTGTTGAAGAAATCAAGATTTAATGCAATCCATCTTATCAAATGAGGGCCACAATATAAAAACTGGAATTGCACCAGCTGTTAAAGAGGCCTCTGAGAAAAATGCCAATGTACGAGCCTATCGAAAGAAAGAAGAAAACACAAACCTTCCTCACTGGGCAGGAACGGTTATCAGGGTCTGCTGCCGTGGACAGCGCCGGTAAAGGAAGGGTCTCCTGTTTGCACAAGTGATTTCAAAATATATGGGAAGCACTGGTTTTCCTAAATGAACACTTTTACTTGGTTAGCATTTGAACAAACAATGTATTATTTAATTCTAATCAACTGAATGAGGGTGGTAACGGGAGTCACAAATTTTAAGATGTAAAAAGAAAAGCTCACGTCTTTTAGACCCAACTCATGCCAGGAGAAAAGAATGAAATTGTCAAGGATTTTGTCTTGCTTGGATTGATCCACAATCAAATCTCATGGAAGCAGCAGTCAAGAAATCAAGTGCAGCACTGAGCAAACCTGTTGCACAAGACCTCTCTAAAGTGTTGAAGAGTAAGGAAGTCCCTTTGAGGACTCAGGTGCCCTGACTCACGCCATGAGATCTGCAAACTGCTCACATGCATGTGAACGGTGGACGCTGAATAAGGAAGACCACAGGACAATTGATGCGTGTGGATCACGGTGCTGGGGAAGAGCACTGATAGTATCACCAACTGCCAAGAGGACAGGATAACCTGTCTTGGAGGCAGTACAGCCAGAATGCTCCTTAGAAGCGCAGGATGGGGAGGCATTGTTCCACATACTTTGGGCAAGTATCAGAAGAGACCCCTTTCTGGAGAAGGACATCCTGCTTGGCACAGAATGGCAGCAAAAGAGGAAGACCCTTACCCATAGGACCGACCCTTGATGAGTGGCTGCAGTAATGGGCTCAAATATAACCAGCGTGAGGACAGTGCAGGACCGGGCAGGGTCTCGCTCTATTGTACATAGGGTCGCTATGAGTCTGAACAAACTCAATGGCAACAGATAGCAATCACGGCTCCCAGGCCATCTCTATCCCTGCTGCTTCCAGTAGCATCATTCTCTCTCTGGGAATAAATACTCCTCACTTTGCTTGGTTTAATCAAACAGGAAGATGAAGAAATTGAAGATTTTAACCAATTTGGACAGCCTGACGGGGGTGAAACAGGCACTCAAGAGGCCTTGATGTTTCCTGGTGACTGAAATTCAAAAGTTGGAAACAAACCAGAAGGATGAGCATTTGGAAAAGCTGGCCTCTGTGACAGAAGCAACACCGGGAAGCACATGATACACAGAGAACTTCTGCACACCTGGACCTCACTGGATGTCAGACACAGAGACCAAGTCACCTGCATCGATGGAGAGAAACCAGGGGAAGCTCATGATCCTCAGTCAGAACCAGGCCGGGGGCTGACAGTGGAGCAGGCCAGCAACTGCTCCTGTGTGAGCTGAAGTGACGCCAAGAAATCCCTAAGGCAGTTCCCTGGCCAGCGGCCCTATCTGTGTCCACTCTAAGGAAGGGTGATCTAATGGAATGTGGAAGTGACCGAATGATATGATTCATATCATACACAAGTAAAATCGTTGACAATTCAAAAGTGGTTGCAACAGCACAATGGCAGGGAGCTGCCAGAAGCTCAAGCCAGATTCACAGAGGGCACGGGATGAGGAATCTCACTGCCTTTTACTCATTTTGCAGAAGCACTCTACTGTGTGGATCCTAGGAAACTATGAATACCATTGTAAGGAATGAATGGGAAATTTGGGAAACTTCACTGCACTCATGAGGAACCTTTTCACAGAATAAGAGGCAACTGTTTTAACAGAACAAGGGCTACCGAGTGGTTTAAAACCATGAAAGGTGTACATCGAGCTCCTATCTTTCCCCGCACTTATTCAATCTGAGCAAATCATCCAAGAAGCTGGGCCACATGAAGAAGAATTAGCACCAGGACTTGGGGAAGACGCATCAACAACCTGCGACGTGCAGATGACCAAGCCCTGCTTGCTGGAAGTGAGGCGGGCTGGAAGCGCTGGCTCCGTGGTGAAGATTATAGACCACAGTCTTCAGGGTGGATTAACCTCATGTAAGAAAGCAAAACCCTTCACAACAGCACCAGTAAACAATATCAGGATAAGAAGAGAAAATACTGAAATTGTCAGATTTCATTTTACTTGGATCCCTAAAGAGCACCCACGGAAGGAACAGTCTTGAAATCTGGACCAATCTGTTGCAAACACCCCTTGAAAGTGTTAGACAGCGAGGATGTTGCTACGAAGACTAAGGTGCCACGGACCCAAGCCATGTCACCTTTCATCCCTTTGTATGCATGTGTGTCAAAGCCGGCCAGCGACTGAGGAGGCCTGGAGAGGAATGGCTGCCTATCAGTTACGGTGTGAGCACAGAACAGCAGACAGAGGCTAGGCTGCTCGGAAAGCAAACTCCTCTGTCTTGGAAGAAATACATCCAGCACGCTCCTTTGAGGCAAGGATGGAGAAACTTTGTCTCATGTCCTTGAGCCTGTTATCAGGAGGGACTGGTCGCTGAGGGGCATCCTACTTGTGAAAAAGAGGCAGGCCCTGGACAAGGTGGACCGACGCCGTGGCTGCCACACAACTGGAATGACGGCCATGGTGGTGAGGATGTGCGGGACCAGGCGGTGTTTTGTTCGGCTTTACTCAGGGTCCCTGAGTCGGAACGGACTTGGTGACATGTAATCACAAAAACAACAGGCGGCTTCATAGCCTCCCATTTTCCTTCATGCGTGAAACAGGAACAAGATGAAGACAGTGAATCCTGGCTCACTGCACTGCAAGCTCTTTCATGGAGCGTGGTTTATTAACCTGCTGTTAATATCACCATCCCATACGACGCCTCCCATACAGTCAATACCTATTACATAATTGTTGGGCTGAGTATCAAAATATTAGAACTTTAAGTAATGTCCAAATCCCAAAACTACCTTAAGTCATACATGGTGTGAAATATGCATGGGGCAAGAACTGAGTAACAAGGACATTTATAAAACAAGATCCTGCAGGGGTACCTTGATATGTTTTACGCCACAGCTGACAAGTTTATTTGGCTGGTACAAATCCCAAGAGATATCAAAGATCTGTAAACAAATCAGATTTGTGGTTAAAATACAGATTTTCAGAATCCTATGAATAGCCTATCCAAAAGACTTTCAAGTAGCCCAAACGCCAACCTATCCTAATACAGTAAAGCAGTTATCATCAAATGACTTCCAAGTCCTGCCCTCCATGTGGATCCGAGCATGACTGCCTCGCCAGGCGTTTCTCCCACGATGCCCGAGGGTGGGCTCGAACCTCCAACCTTTGGGTTGGCAGCAGAGTGTGCCAGTCATGTGCACCTCCAAAAACAGTCATCCAAATTCTACATTTTAAAAGTTTCCAAAAAACAGAGTACATACAGAAAATACAAAGAATAGCAACTATTTCGCAGTCTTTATGAACTGTGGTAAGCAATCTGAAATTTAACATTGTTATTTTTTATAAAAACATTTTGTACCACAAGTCACAGGAATAATTTAACATTCCTAGAGCACAAGGCAGGTGTCGGAGCCACTTCTAGAAAGGAGAAGTTCTGACTGGAATCTATAATTACCCTCACACAGACAGAAACAAGGAATATTGGTACAACTGTCTAATCACACAGAATTTCTTACATAAATTTCTTACATTTATTTCACAGTAAAAAATTGTTGTTTTTGTTTTAATTTTCTTACTGTTCACTTGGAAGAAAAAATAATTAGCTTAAACTTAAATTGGAGGGATTCCCAGGCTTGCTTCTTTTCTAAGACTCTATAATTTCTAAATAGGTACAAATTATTTTATTACAAAATCAAAGAACAATATGCATTATAAACATGTAATTTAATATTAAAAAGAAAAAATAATATTTGAAGGTAATCATCATTTATTCTTTCTATCGGGTAGTCTGAATCATGTTTCCTTAACATCACCATATTTACTAAGACACTGTCTAGTAAGGTGAATACATACAACCTTTACAAAATGTCTCAGCAATAGCCAAGAACGAAGATGTCTTATAAATCATCTCAACAACTCACCATAAGAAACATTATATTAAAGGGTGTCAATGCAATTATAAAATACTAACCACAAAATACTTTTAAATTTTTATTAACATTATTCATTTTTCTAATAATTGGCCCGTTTACTAAAACCATAGTTCTAATGCGTAAAATAATTTGAACTAAATCAAAATACACAGCTCTCTAAAGAAATAAAGCTAACACCATAATACCCATATGAACTGTATGTGTGAATATGTAATAGACTCCTTTGAGAACTTCTGAAAATTTAGTTTATTCTCTAAAATGCAAATACATATACTCCTTGCTTATTGACAAGGTTCGCTTCTGCAAAAATGTAAAATGAAGGATGATCAGCTTGGACTGCAAAATGGAGGATGACTACATCATTACACAACTGCCAAATTACATCAAGACCTAACTTCCAAACTACTGAGAGTCATGACCAAGCCACGGTGGCACCTAACTTTAACCATCACTCTTACCCAAGTACCCTGCCATTCATTACTTCCCTACATACATCAATCATGATCAAAATAGTCGGGTAGTAGATGTTGTAGTAGATAGTAGTATATATGAAATGCTGGCTAACAGGGAAAGAAATAAATGAGGAGTAGGTGTATACATAACATTTTATAACAATTTTTAGAGATCCATATATTCTCCTAGAATAGAATTATTGAGTTTGCCTCTGGTGCTGGGTCCGGTTAGCATGATAGTGCATGGAATAATTACATCTTTTTAAATGTTTGTGATGTATTTTTTAATCAATGCTTTGTATAAATACTATAGCATTTCGCTTTAAAAGCTAACTACAAGATATTTTTAAAATTAATTTTATACCACTTGGAATGAGAAACATATTACTAGCTAGTCTTCAGTTTTACACTAGCACATGGAACCTTGTTTCTGAGTACTACAATACATGTGCACTCTAAAGCTTTATGGGTCATTACAATTGTACTTGGAAAACTTAAATGACATAGAATCTGTCCAGAACAAAACACAGAAACATGAAACCCCTGAACCCTTTTTAGTCCCTCCCCATCCAGTCGCCATTAGAACTCCACAGGGGAATACTTACTCGGTCTGTGTGACCCGGAGCCATGGACAGCATTTTCCCCCTTTTCCAATCCCAAACACAGACCGCATTCTGTGAGTCGAGTCCGACAGAGACCAAGCGCTGAGCCACGTCCAAGGAGCGGAGGGGGCAGAGGGAAGACAGACAAGAGAGGAACCAAATTACACCCGGCAAGGAGGAGTCCGGTCATGAGTTTAGGACACTCAAGTTGACACACCTCATTTTCACAGACCTCATAGAGAAAGGCTGGAAGTACTGCAGCTTGTTAATATCTACACACACATGCAGTTCTTCACATTAGTGAGCGGGGGGCGGGGTGTAATAAAAGGGAAGACGATATCAAAGAGTCCTGGAAGAAAAAGAAGGTTTGGAAACGGATTGTGGCAGCAATTGTACAATACTGCTTGACGTGATTGAACTGTGAAACGCTATGATATATGCATTAACTCCCAATGAAAAATAAATTTAAAAACAAACCGAGGAGAGACTGCCAGCTCTAACAGTATTGGTGTGTTAGGTGCCCTCAATTCAGTTCCAACTCATGGCTCCCCAGTACAGCAGACCGAAACCCTGTGCCGCCCTC